AAAAAAAAAAAAAAAAAAAATTGAAGGCCCAAAGCAAGGATTTTGGACTTAACTGGTTAACCGCCAAATCGGACCGTCCAATGCGGTCCGGATTGTGGCCGGTTAAAAAATAAAACCGGTCTGGTTATGGACAAGAAAAAAAATTAACTGTTAGGTCCGGATGGTCATGATTTGGGCAAAAACCGGACCAATCCAGACCGTGAACATCCCTATTGAGAAGTATAGGAAAATTTAGTAGAGGGGTCAAAATTTCTCCCTCATCTAGCTAAGGGATAAGTAAAATCGAGTCTAAATGAGATATTCGTGGATGACATGCTTGTTAAGAGCAGGTTGGAGATCCATTATATGGTGAATTTAAAATATTTCATAAATCCTAAAAGGTCTTTATGATAAGAGTCTGTATAACACCTTGGGAAATATGGGATGAAGTTGAACCTGGTCAAGTGTGTGTTTGGGGTAAAGTCAGGGACGTTCCTAGAGTATATGGTGACAAAGAGGGATCGAGATCAACACCAAGAAAGTTCGAGTTGTACTGAAGATGAGACCACTCAAGAACATCAAAGAAATGCATATATCTTAACAGGTAGAATAGCACGATTGGGAAAATACATATCTAAGATGGTTGAGCGGAGCAGCCCACTTTTTCAGGATGTTGAAGAAGAGTTCGAAGTTTGCTTGGACAGAAGAGGCACAGAAGGCTTTCGACGAGGTAAAGGTCGTGCTTGCGAACTTACATTGTTGGCGAAACCAGTTCAAGGAGAAGACCTTAGATTTGCATTGGGTAGGCTGAAGTGAGCTCGGTGTTGCTAAGGGAGGAAAAAACTATGAAGTTGTCTATATATTACGTGAGTAGAGTCATGCAAGGAGCTGAGATGAGATATTTAAAGTCTCGATCCACACTTGAGCCTATTTTAGACTCAAGTAGAGACCCGCTCTCTTTGAAATGAAACTGGTTACTTTATTTGGTTTTATCCATGTAATTCAAAACATGTGTCTATTTAAATGTCGTGTAAGCAAAATTAGACCCAAAGTTAGTTGATTTTTTTTTTCGAAAGCGATAGAATTTATACCAATAAACACAAGTATTTACATACTAAAAAAACAACCGGGTACAAGTGAATCAATCATCTACTAAGCTGAATCTAAAAGAGATCTACTCAAAGATAGTATAAAGACAAAACACAAACATAACACAAACTAAAAAAAAAAAAATAAAATAAAAAAAATAAAAACTACCAACCCCACACAAGTGGAGACTACAAACTCCAATAATTGAGAGTAAAAAATTACAAAAATAAACACACACACACACAAAATACATAATAATAATAATAATAATAATAATAATAATAATAATAATAATAATAATAATACAATAAAACTTCTCCTCATCTAGGCAACCTCCAAAACCAAGCCTAAAGGTGCCAACAGCTGCCAACTGCCAACACACTTTTGAAGCCATCCATCCTAAAAGATGAAGAAAGAACCGTAGATTTGAAGTCAACAAAGTTAGAACTTCAATTCACTCCACAGGAAGTCAGAAGAAAAAATCCAAATCTAACCCGAAAGAAGACGTCAAATGACAGACGGAGATCCGTGCAGCCTCCTGGACGGATCCTAGTGTCGGCCTTGCCACCAGTCGGCCACGGCGAGGCGAAAGTAGAAAGGGGGGCACTAGCTGATAGCAAAGTCTATCAGAAGCCTCAAGCACTCTGCTTTATTCCTTGTCTAACTTTTGGATATTCTTATACTAGCTTTATGACTGTTAAGGATGTATACTTAACATTGTACATAAAGTGATTTTACAGTACGCTTGAGACAAGGAGAGGCTTTGCATTTATTTAAAACTCTTTTCGTAGTTAGTGTAAACCTCTTAGTGAGCGATTCAGTTCAGGGCCTCTGTTTTCCAGTTGAAAATGAGGAAGAAAAGAAAAGGAAAAGAAGAAAAACAGAAAAGACAATAGCCTCAACAACAAAATCTACTTAGAAACAAATAAGCTGCGCTACATGAGCATGTGAAACTCTCCAATTCAACAAATTACATCAAAATTAGCGTACGATCGGACCTACATTCGACTGAGTTCAAACACATTTTTTGAAGCTAACGTTATTTTCTCGAGATTCATAATACCGATAAATAATTCCATCTTTTACCGACTTTTACAAAATGTAGCAGCCTTTGTTCCCTTTCTTCTTCTTCTTCTTTTGCTTTGGCGGTTGCAATACAATCTTTATAGCCGCATCAAACACCGCCTTCACATTCTGCATCCAAGTAAACGAACAAAAAAAATTGCATTTTTTTTTTTTGTAAAAGAAGATAAATAATAGTACATCGATCGTAAGTTGTAACAGAGAAAACGTGTACCTGTTGAGTTTTTGAACTGCATTCGATGTACACAGGGGCACCAATCAGTTTCCTTAGTTCCTCTCCCTACAAAAAAGGGCAATATACAGAAGGTCTTTTTATATAATAGCACTGTCAGATAAAAATCGAGAGGGTGTTTTACCTGGGTTGTGGTAATTGGAACTGCTCCAGGATGATCGATAAAGAATTGCCTATCATCTCTAAGATCTGTGTATAATAAATAAGTTCCTTAAGAAAAAAAAAATAGTGTATATACAAGAAACGTAGGTTGGGTAAGTCAATCTTTAAGCCAATGCAAATCAATGTGCTTTAAACTAATATTTATTTTTCTTACTTTTTTCTTTAAGAAGTGATTATTCTCAAGTGCTAGCAAAAAGCACTTTTTTTTTCGAAACGGTAGAGATATTATATAAATGCGCACAAATGTACAAAGTAATCGAGAGTAGATGAAGATATGAAGTCAAAAGTTCTTTAAGTTTGAAAGAGGGTGTTTAGGAAATAAGTTGCAGGCATGTTTTTATTGTGTTTACAAGTCAAAATTAGAAATCCAAAGCAGCAAGCATGCCTGTATACTTACTTTCAAAGCAGAAGTTGACAATTGAAAACT